TCCCTTATTATGATTTTAATATAGTTTCGTCTAAGTTTCGACTGTTATTAAGGGGTTTCGTCCCTCATCATTATATAGTATATATTATAAACTTTTATTTTATCAGTTTTATTTTTTTATAAAATTATATATTTATATAGTATTTATAAATTTAATCATGTGATTTTATTTTTAAGTATAGGTGAAATGTATCATATCAAGAAATTTTATTTTTTATTTATAAAATAAAAAATATATAAATAGATATTAAAAAATAAATAAAAATAACATTAAAATTACAAATTAAAATTATTAAAAATTTAACAAATTATTTAAATAATAAAAAATAAACTTAGTAAAATTATATTAAAATAGCAAATTTTTTAAAAAAAGATAAAATAATAATAGAATTTATAAAATAATGAAATTATATTAAAACTTTAATAAAAATTAGCAAATAGATATTAATAAAAATAAATAAAAAATATTTTAAAAAAATAAAAAAAAAGATTTAGAAGTAATAAATATTAAAAATATAAGAATATAAACTTTTTTTATTTAATAAACTGTATTTTAAATTACATTTACTATACTTATTTAAATACTATTATTTTTATAATTAATTTTATTATATAAAGTAAATTTTAATACTTTTTTTATATAAAATATAATTATGATTTATTATCAAATTTATATTATTTAGATTATTAAATTTATATAATGATAATTAAAATATTTATATTTTTTATTTTTTAATTAGAAATAATAATAATTTTTATATCATTTTTTAAATTAAATAATTTTTATATTATAAATAAAATAAAAAAAAAATTTTTTAAAGATATATAAATATTATATGATATATATTCATATTATAAAAAAAATTTTTTATTTTCAATTATTTAATAATAGAATAAATATAAAAAAAAAGTATATTATAATAAGAAACATCTTTTTTTTATAATTCTATATTTAATTCATACTATTATATTCTTATTATATATCATATAATTTGTATTTAATATCTATATAAAGTAAATAATAATAAAAAAATAATATAAATAAATATATATAAAATGATAATAAAAAAAAAAAACACTATAAATAATTATAAATAATAAAAAGATACTGTATATATTAAAGTATAAAAAATTATTAAATACAAAAAGAATTATAAATACATAAACCAAAAAATTATATAAATTTTCTACAAAAAAATTAGAAGTTTACAAAAAATAAAATAAAATAAAATATAATTATAAAAAGATTTAATATTATTTTTAAGTAAATTTATCAACCCATTTTTGTCCTACTTTATAATCTATCTTATTATTAAAATTTCCGATCCTTGTTTCTTCTTCAATAATAACTTTTTTGTTATCATGTAATGGAGGATATGTAGAAGATTTCATTTTACCATTTAATTTTTTTAAAGTATTTTCTGATACAAAATTTTCATCATTAAAATTGTTATCTTCTTCATCATCTAAATCACTTAATGCTTCACCAAATAATAATTCTTTTGGTAAATTTAAACTGAATCCATCTCCTGGCGTCCATGTAGCCCTATGAAGCAATTTAATTGATTGCCTTGCCCTTGCTCTCGATTCTGCTTTTTTTTCCTCCTCTTTTTTTTCTTCATTTGCATTTATTGCTGAATTAATAGTCTCACTATTATCATGACTAGTTTCATCCACATTACTTTTTAATTTTTCCTTTTCTTTCCTTCTCTCTGCACGAATATTAATTGAATTATTTATACATTCAATATATGTTGTATATTTAACAATTTCATATAATAACCATTGAGATTTCTTTTCCCAATTCGAAAATGCTTTGGAATAATTTGATGATTTTGGATGAAACTTTAATTAAATTATAGCACAAGTTAGCAAAAATAAAATTAAATAAAATAAAAATAAAAAAAATTGTAATATATGTACCAATTTTGTCATCGGTTCCCAAAAATTTTTGTGTTCTTCCAATTCATTCTCAAGATCAACTCTATATTTTTTTAGGGCTGTCAACTGTGTGTCCTTTTTTTTAAAAAAAAAATAAAATAAAAAAAAAAGATAAAAAAATAAGAATATAATCTTTATAATATCGACGTTTCAGAAAATACACAAAAAAACATACTTCATCAAAATTACTGGAAACTGTTGGTGGTAATGGTATCTTCCACTCGCTAACAAAAATTCGATCACTCGTATAAGTGGAATTATTACTCATTACACTACGACCATCACTCATAATACTTCTGCCATCCCAATCCTCTCCACCATCAAGGATAGATTCTAAACATCTACCCCATCCATATTCCATGCTGCTCACTCCACCTGTTAAAGGTTCTTTACTCATACGTGATGCCCAATAATTACATGTCGCAACCCATTCATCCACAAGTTCAGCTGTTCCTGCTTGGAAAAAGTAAAGTCCCCCATTCGACATAGAAAGCGCAAATACATGTGGACGAGAACGGTTGTAACCAGGTGGTGGTAATGCATTTGTAATGGTATGACGAAGATTAACTTCGCCCAAAAAAGTAGCATTCGCCTAAGTATATGTGTAGTATTATTAGTCAATGAAAATATATTAAATAGTTAAATTTAAAAAGTAAATTAACACACCATCCAATTACCGCCCCCAATAGCACCCATTCCAATAGAACTATGAGAAGAGCTAGTTTCAAATTTATACATCTTAATATCCCCCTTCTCAATAACAACGAAACACTCTTTCCAACCCTTATCCTTTGCTCTCTTGGTGGTTGCTTCCCAATAATGTTTTCTAACCAACAATCCTTCTTTAGCATAAGGTGCACCAGATAAATATAATTCCAAAGATTCGGTAGTTGAAACTGAATCTGCAATAGAATTTCGGTCATAATCTTCTAGATCATGTTCATCAACCATTTCAGGTATTGTGGAATTAAACCCTGTTTCAGATGATGAAGCATGGCGTAACGAAAATGATGATAATGTTGTTGAAAGAGTTTGCGAGCTGCCTGATCGATTTAAGCTATCAAGCTAAATTATTTTAACAAAAATGGACATTAATTTAGTAATTAAAATGTTATAAATGAATAATTAAGTTAATATTGCTTACCCCTATACTTGAATCACTACCTCCACTAACAACACTTGGACTTGGAGAAATTCTTCCGTTAACATTTTTACGACCCTTTACGTTTCCTGCAGACCGACCTTTCTTAAGCGCATTTATTCTTGAATTTGGATGACCCAAGTGACTCATGCTTCGATGAAGTCCTGGCGTAAGTGAATTTGATTGCTCAACGGAAGAATGAGCTTTGTCCATTGAAGACATAACCGGCTGTAAAATCTGATTCGATTTTATTGTCGAATACATTTCTTTCAAAAGAACTTCAACTTCTGAATCCCATTGACGTCCTGAGATAAATGACGAATTGGTTAAATTGGAATTGGGATTACTACGCCAACTTTTTATGCTTCCGCTCCGTCGTGGACGTGCTGTAGATGATGTTACAGTTGTCTCAGAAGTTATCGTACTTCGATCGTCTTCGTAAGAGTTTTGTGCAGCCGTACAAGCTTGAGCATGATGTATAGCTGCGATTGTATTCTTTACGAATTGTGAACGTGACATTTTACTTGTCACTTGAGCAACATGCAGGTCGGTATTGAGCAGCAGGATGGAATATGCAACTGCGTGAACTATGTCTGAAATCATCATCATCATTTATTTTATATTATTATTATTTGTATTATTTTTTAAAAAAAAGCAGCTTAGTTCTTATTTTTGTTTTTTTTTTAAAAAAAAGGTATATTTGACGTTAAAACTAAACTTACCAGCACTACCATAAATAGTCTTTGGATTGCATTCCCAATACCGTATCGAAAACGATTCAAGTATACGATCTACTTGTTGCGTTTCACCTTTTATATACAACTTTCCGCATAATCCTCTATTAACTCAAAGGAAATGAATTTATAAAAAGTAAATTATATGGTTTCTTTATATCGTAACTTTATTTTCAATATTATAACGAAAAATTTACCGAAAAGCTACGTCTAATCTTAAATTTGAAAAATCGAAATAATCCATATAAAATTTTAATGTCCTGGAATTTATTAACTTACTGTATTTAAAATTAATATTTGAAATTAAATTTAATTAGTAATATATTATAATAAAGAGGAAAATAAATAAATAAGATATTTAATAACTTACTGTCCACCTAAAAATTCTGTGATCGCTTCCTTCTTTATGAATGTTTCGTCTTCATCGAAACATCTTTTAGCAGCGATTCTTGCTTCTGCCCATAAGATTTCATCCTCATTCTTTTCAGGAACATCTGGTGGAAAATTGTCATCAAAATCTTTGTCTATAGAACTTTCAGTAAGTACAAGATCATCATCTACATGTATTTTAGGTGTTCCGTCAGTTACATTGTTAGTTTCTATAAATACGTCAGTTATTGGAGAATGCGGTGCGGTATGAAGAGTCGTAGTTGAGCCACTAGCAGTTTCATAACTTGCAATGCTGGAAGTTTGTCGCATACGCGGTGAACAAGATACATCAGGCTCAGATATTGGGATTATTTTCGGAACGTCAGGTAATTTTTTATCCGGTCTTTTGGGTATCGTATTTGGACTGAGACCTGAATCTATATTTGATTCAGCGCTATCCGGCATCTTTGATTTCATTGCTAATCCTCTTTGATCCGTTTTAATCTTTAATGATCGTTGATCAAAAGAACTTTGCAATGAAACTTTGCTACTACTACATGATGGATGCGCTAATTCTTCGTTTGACTCTGAATTTTAAATGAATAATTAGATTTCGAAAGTCAATCGTTGCTATTAAAAAATCAACCTAAATATTCCTTACTTAATATGTTTGGATCCACCTTTGTAGTACGTTTAAATCCTGAATTTTGAGTTGTATAAATATTTTCAGAATCATCATATTCAACTTGTTCTAAACCAGCTGATATTTCTTCAGGTATTTCTGTCTTATTTGCACTCATCATAACTCTTGTATCTGCAAATTCTTGTTTCGAATCCTTACATATTACCTGTACATTTTCATTTGTATTATTTTCGGTTTGTCCATTCCATTCATAGGTTCTCCCAATATTATCGGGAACACTTTTATTTGCACCTTGTAGAGTCGTGCGGTATAACCCAGACCGTTGGCGATTCTCACCATTAGCTTGCAGATTAACATAGACTGAAGCGAAATCTTTGAGAGTACGTTGTATAAACTCTTGTTCGTCATCAGGATAATTATCATAATCATTTTCTGACAAGGTTGTATCATCGTTTGCGTCGAGATAAAGTTCTGGGTTTGGAAGTTCAGCAGAATTTGTTGCGGGTGTCATTGGATTTTGGAATACATCTGAGGATGGACTCTTTGAATTTTGAAAGTCGGGAAGAGGTAGTCGACCACTTTGTTGTAATGGATTATCGCCAGTTTGCTAAGTCATTTTACCAAGTCAATATACAAAAGATGAATACTTCGTACAAAAAATCTTTGATATAAAAATTATAAAGTATAGTTTTGTAATTTTGTCTAATTGAAAATTTGTGTTCACCTTAGTGCTTAGTTTTTTGAAAAAAGTCGAAGTCTTACGCATAGTATTCTTCATCGTGTTCTAGATATTATGAGAAAGAAATTGTGGATAAGAAAAAAAGTGTATTGGTAATATCTTATCGTTTATTTATAACATTTTCTCAAATCTTGTTCCGTTTTTTTCCGATATATATATATATATATATATACATAAGTTTATTTCAAAAATAAAAAAAAAATATATATATATATATACTTGAATTTTTTTTTATCATAAATATTAAAGATTTGAAAAAAAAAAGTAAATCCATGATAATGCTTAGAAAGATGGATATTTTATAAAACATTATAACTTACTTTGAATCCTTTATCGTCGTTTTTGTCAATAGAAACTAAACTATCTTTTCTTTTCCCAGATTTTTTGGATTGATTGTTTAAAGGTTTTCCACCAGCAATACCACTTCCCAAACCGTATGGACCATCGGGACAATTGACAACTAACCCACTCGCTTGCTGCTGTTTCATTAATGCATCATACTCTGCTTCTAATGACGTACCAGTATTTGATGCAATAAGGTTAGGTACACTGACACTACCAATAACAGACTGTGATACATTGTGGTCAGTAGCAAAATGGTTGTTACTTTCCGTTATTATTTCTTCTGTTGTGTTTTTGTTATTATACGTTGAAACCGTTGTAGGAACCACTCGTTGTTGGGGTGGTGCGGACAAAGGTCGACTTGAAGACACAAATTCTTTCTTTTTAAATAGAGAAAAAAAATTTTGCTTTGAATTTCTTGTAGAAATGTATTGTGGTGTAGAAACATTAAGTGACTGTGTAGGGGATTCGGGTTGCGGAGAAGTTTGGGGTGAGTTTATCGTAGTAGTTTCTGAAATTACTGCATTTGCCTTTTCACCCATCGATGATGAAGGGAGTTCTACATTTTCTGTATAAACGTCAAATTCGCTATCTGATGTAAGTATTGAGGCAGAACCTGTTGGTGCTGATGTCGAATACTTTGACATCGTGTTTGTTGAAGCTTGCGATGAACTGCGAACGTAACTAGAAACCTAAAACAAGGTGTTGTTAAATGCAACTATTGTTAAAGTAGTGGAATGTTCCACTGTAGAAAGTTTGACATACCTTATATTTTATATTTAACTTCTTCGCCGTTCAACACCGAAGCATAAAGACGTTAAATTAAAAGGAAAGAACTACACATAAAGCAGTTAGATCGGATATTCTGTTCACTTAAAGAACTTTTTGGTTTAATTTAGAAAAAGATGGTTTGCGGGTATCCTAATTGTTCGGAAATTTTTTTTTTTTGAATAGGTAAAAAAGTGAGTTACACTGTGATCGGTTTAATATTCTAATAAGGTTTCCGAAAATTAAACTTTGTCTGACAACAATATATAAAATATATTAGGAAATTACCAATATAGAAATATAACTTTTTAATGGTTTCAAGAAGATATATTACGAGCAACATGAAATAAATATCTATATCTTTTTCATTTAATTTAAATTATTCGTATTCCAAAATTGAAAACGCATCTCTAAGCAAAACTTTAAATATTGGTTATTTCCGACCTTAACAAGCCAATTTCCAAAATAGAAAGTTTCGTTTTTAAGTTAGTTTTGTGAATACCTGTAAGAATAAGTATTTTGACGAGGCCGATGTCGCCATTTCTCTCCATTAAAATTAAAATTTTCTCTATACTCTGTGAAGACTTTCTCAACGAAGGATGGGGCACTAATGTATCTCTTTGTAAGATTTAATAATAATACTTTTCTTTTGGTGTGACCAGTAACGCAAATCATTGATAAATTATTGATATGAGAATGAAAATCATTTTCACAAATACAGAAGAAACGAAGGAGCAACAATACTTCAGGTGTAGTAATTGGTTTTATTTTGACTTCCATGATACTGACTAAAAATGTTCACTGTTCATACATTCTTCAAACGGAATGGAACACTTTGCAAATACTAATTCAGAAAAATGATTTCTCTTGGAATATACAAGCATAATGGTGATTTTAATGTTTTTTTTGTCTTTATTGAGAAGGCAATGGAAAGTTGTCGATGGATGGCCAAGAATTGTGTTTAAAATTGTATAATTATCATACCAAAAACCTGTTCGAATCAATTAGATATTTTTTTTAAGCACAAAAATATCGAAATTAGACAGTAACACAAAATTTATATTTATTTTAGTTCGACCAATAAAAAAAACAAATTTATCAAATTTTAGATTTCCCCCTTTTCTATTGACTGCCGCCCCAATATTTATATTTGTTAATTATTAAATAATATTTAATATTTTATGTACATTCTTTATCAGTTTATATTGATATGTCTCTAATAGGATGTTGAATAAATTTAGGCTTCTGTTTATAAAAGTCTATCGCTTATGTAATCCTAATCATTATATTAAAAGTAAAATGAATTGAGACCGATCCTAAATTTCAAAAATAAAGTTTGTGAATATATTTATTATTTATTTTTAATAAATATTCCATTAATACATTATCATTAGAAGTAAAATATAATGCCAGTAAAAACAGGTTCTGGGAATTTATTACCAAAATTTTGATTTTTATTGCATTTTAGTTTTTTGATGTTATTTGATTAAAATGTAATAAGGTCTTAATTTAGTTAAAAAAAATTTCTTTATTGGTGAATTTGACCACTATAATTTTGGTTTAGCCTTTTATAAAAATTTATGTTACACATACTTTACAAAGAAAATTAGTCAATTCGATTTTTTTGTGGAATGGCTATTATTACAAAAGGAAATGATCTGTAATTCACGTGATATATAAATTATAAAATTATAATTAAAAAAATTTACATCTTATATCCCTTTATCTGTAACTTTTATATGTTACTATGTTTATGCAAACAAATTTGTATATATTATAAATGAAGAGATAATAATCACATTTTTATATAATCACCATTTTTTAGGAAATTAATTATATGACTATATAAAAGTCTGACTGTATATAAGATATAAAAATATATATTTATGATTCAGATATTAAGTTATATATAAAGTTATTAATTATAAGAGTTTGAAGATTTTTCAATTAATAAACTTTAATATTATATATCTTTTTAGGAATAATGACTTTGAATTCTTATCATATTATATTTTAAAAAAATAAATCTATTGATTAATACAAAATTATTTTTTTTCTAATTATAACTAATAATATTCTTAAGTTTTTAACATTTTTATATGAATTGATTAACACTTTGCATTTCTATTATAATTTTATTACTTTAGAAGAAAGTATCAAGTTTTAATTTTTTCAAAAAGATGAATGATATTTGATTATAAGTTTTTTATAAAGTTTTATTTAAATTATTAGAATCAAATACTAAAATATCAATTTTAGATTCAAGATATTTTATAAAGGTAAAAACTAAGTTGATTTTATAAGTATAGATTTAAGAAAGTTATTTAGTAGATTTTATTTAAGAAATCTTTTAGAATTAAATAAATTAGATTCTGTTTTTATTTTAATACTAAGATTATCAACTTTTAATAAATTAGTTTTAAATTATATAATTAATATTTAAATAATAAGAAATATAATAATTATATTATAATAACTTTTATATATCTATAAATATATTTAAAATGTATAGTATAATTACATATTAATTGTAAAATATTAAATTTGAATAAAAAATTATAGTAAGTGATTTTATATTATATGTATTATCAATATAATTATATTTTTCTAATGATATATATAAATTATATATCTACATATATATATATAAAATTATGTTTAATATCTACAAATTATTTATTAATATAATAAACCTTCCTACTAATTAAATAATATACAGTGGCAATCAAAAGTATTGCATCACCCGAATATAAAATTTAAAATGGAAATATCTTGTAATTTAAAAGGTACAGTATTATAAAACTTAAATATAGAGTTTGTCATATCTTAATCTTTATCAATCTCTTTCATCTTTATTTTTAAGAATATTTTTTTTTTGTTATGAAACTTTCGCCAAAGTGGCGATGCATTTCTTTTGATTGATTTAAGAAATAAATATTAACACTTATTACGCAATTTTTTTTTACTTCAAAATAACTATGTGATACATATAAAAAAGATATCTTATAGCATTTTTCGCCTTTTTGTAATTTTATAAAATATCTATGGTTTATCTTTCTGTTGAAAAAAGAGCTAGAATTTGTGCCTTATTTGATGAAGGTTTTCCCTTCCACTATATAGCAGACAAGAAAAATGTTTCTCAATCAACTGTTATAAGAAACAAGCAACATAAAGATAAAACTAGTAACAATAAAAATAAACCTAAATTTGGGTATCTGCGACTCTTAACTGGTCGATATTAACAAAAAGTTTTGAGATTAATTACAACAGGTGAATATAGCAATGCTGTTGCAATTCAAAAAAAATTAAAAATAGAAGAACAAATTGAAGTTAGTGAATATACAGTAAAGAGAACCTTATATAGAAATGGAATAAGTGCAAGGGTTAAGTGCAAAAAATTATATCTTCGAAAAACACATAGAATCGCAAGGATGAAATTTGCAAAAAAATACAAGTTATAGACAGTTAAAGATTAGAGTAAAGTGGTTTGGTCAGATGAGTCAAAATTTATGATTTATAGATCAGATGGTAAAGAGTATTATTGGAAAAAGC